AAAATCATTTTTAATTGAAGTATTTTTAATAAACTAAAATAAAGATTTGTCCATGAACATATTGAGTATTTGTTTTGAATAGTCCATATACAAAGTAATTTTCATGTTAAGATTAAAAATATCTTTCTTCATCTCAAATTCCTTTTGTGTAATCCCTAAAACCTAAATACATTTCAAACGTTTTTTTCTCAGTAAACTTTATATTTTATATGTTATTTCTCTAACCTATCACTATACAGGATCAGTCAATTTGATCAACCTTGTACATACATAAAAAAATTGAAATAAATCTAAATTACCATTTTTTTCATTTGGGAATGACTTCAAATTGTAACATGCTACTACATTTGTTTATCCTAAGTAGATTTAACTCTTTCAGCACAGACTCATTCCAAAATTTAGCAGATTATCAGTAAACATTACAATGTTTTCATATGCAAAATACCTTTTTTTTATATTAAGTCCTAAGATTTATATAGCAATGTTTTTCTTGTGTCTTTTTTTTTCTTTTCACATGCTGCCTATCTATCATGCAAAGTAATTTTCATTTTAAGATTAAAAATACTTTTATGCATCAGAAGATTTTCAAATTTCACATGCAAAATCTTAATAATGTTGAGATAGTTATCAAATGTTTCTTAAGAAACACTTTATATTTTATCTTGTTTTTTTCAGTAATTAATTTCTGTATGAGTTCAGTAGATTTGACCGATCTCGCAACCACCATAAAAATTAGGAAATACAAATTATAACACAAAAACAAATGTTTAGACAAAATAGCTTAAATCTCATAACATTATACATTTATTTTTATTATATTGACCTTTCAGTCATGCGTGGCTAATAATACAAAAGTTACAATGACGCGGCTCACGTGCACTCATGTTACCGTATCAAATAACATAAGACTAGTCTTTGGTCTTAACAAACTAACTTGTCTTGGCTTTGTTTTAGTAGACTAGTATTTTATAAAATACAGTCACATTTCAGTTATTATACATTATATATGTATGTAGATTATTGCTACTTTGAAATAAGTTCTTAAACTTATCTTTCTTAAAACACAGAACAGTAACTAAAGAAGTAAAGCAAACAATTATCTCTTCCAGTTACGATCTTTGTACTCGGTTGCTAAGCCTTTAAAAAAATTGCATGTGGAGAATATGAAGTTTTATACATACATTTGAATAACTAAAAAAATCATAAATTACAACATTAATACCATAGAATTCCACTATAGTTTATCAAGCTTAGTAACTAAGATGTATTTTAGTCTAAAAATATATATGAAATTTCGAGCAGACTAAAGACACAACCTACCTCATTCACATATTGGTTCAAAAGAAAGAAATGACTGAGAAAGCCACTAGGGGGGCATTCGGAGCTTCCAATTGGTTATTCATGACATATAATGAAGTAAATGTATATAAAAGAACATTTCCAAACATGGAAAGAGGTGGGCAAAACTTTATTTTATTAAAAGTACTTCATTAAGAAATATGACTTTTTGTACGTGAAAGACTTGTAATATTAACTGAAAGACTGCCAAATTTCGTGAAATTATACCCAATATATAGAAAGTTATAAGTACTAAACTTATGTCAACTTTAAACGAGTACAGAAGGTCACGTGACTCCCATGGGGTCAGTCAATTTGATCTCGGAAGAGTTAATAAGATTTTGAATGTAAGACACTAAGATTTTGTCACGCTCAATAAAGGATACCTGTGGTTATAGGGTTACTCATAATTTAGATGCATCTTGGTAGGGAGAACTTAAAAAGTTACAATTTGGAGATATTTAGGAAAAGTGAACAAACATTTAAGTATAATGAGAAAAGGCGATGTTAATGAGAATTGTGTTATAAAGTAAAATTGTTCAATTAAAAAAGTCAGTCGAATGACGTTAAATCCTTATATGCAACCCACTTTTACATGTGTGTAAACCAAAACTTTTCTCCAGACGATTCCACTTCAAGTAGTTTAAGCTTTACTCATAACAATAAGTACTTATCTATAAAATATCTTATGGATATTACTTAAAAAACAAATTTTACAGATAATCAAAAATTTTAGTTCTTACCAGTCACCAGTAACAGGCCAGAAGCCAGCTGCTTCAGAAACACTACCCTCTGTAAAACAGAACCACAATTTTTTACACAACATTTATGCACTTGAAACAAAAACTGGTGAATATATATCTATCATAAACATGTTTCCTAGCTGCTGATATAACTGTATAAAATTGTACTTTTGTTTACAAATACGTCTTTAAATGTATATATAATTCTAGAAACTATCTTTTTATTGAAATCCTACATCAAACTTAACTCGCAAATTTTTTAAAATTTAACTTCACTATTAATCGTCATGTAACATATTCATAACACCTTACCTTGCCACGGTGACGACCTGCAAGAACAATCAGCACAGTACCCGGAGTGATTCGTTTTCGCAAGTTGCGTTTATGATTCTTGAAAGGAACCATTTTCCTAGATTTCTTGATTTTAGGCACATCTTCAGTTGGATAGTATTTCCTCTGAAAGTTTAATCTGTTTTTAGTTCATTTCTGTGATTAACAAACATACTAATACTGATTAATACACTTTGTAGCATTTCTTTTTTATAACCATATGACTGTTTTGATCCTTTAACTTAAGCTTAAATCCCTTTAAGTGGACCAAACTGCTGAATTTTTAAACTTTTAAAATTTAATATTTCATGAAAAAAATCAAATTATGACTTAAAAACATGCACAATAATGAGGAATATATACTTTACAGCACCATGTTTGATGTAGCATGATTATACCAATAATGGTCTCTTGAACCACTGTAATTACTAGTGAAAATTACAACACATTCATCATTTTCAACAGAAGCTTTATTACTGGAAATAAACAACCCATATTCTCTCTCTTTAAAGCAATGTCCAACAGTAAACATAACTCATAAATACCTGAGACTTTATGGTACCCAGACAAATGAATAATAAATTGAACATAACTTACACTTGAAAATTTAATTGCCTATTTTACAGCTGGTTTTGTCAAGTCCAATATTCATAAATTTGACACTCAGAGTGAAAGATACTTCATTATAATAACAAAAGTACAACCAAGTCAGAGTTCACTATGCCTAGCTGTATTTTTCATCACTCACTGCTAGTCTATATATATTATTAATACTAAAGCTACTGCATGTTCTTTTATACAAGTTATTTTCTATATAAGGATACAGCAATAACTATACAAGCCAATATATATTAGTTCAAAATTTTCCATCAAACGCTACCAGTAGTGTATCACACTTTGCAATAAATATTTGCCTTATTTGCTATTTATTTTACCACTGCATAACAAAAACTAAAACATAGTTTCTATTATTGCAAATGTCATATTATATCAAAAAAAAAAGAACTTTTATCTGATGTTTGTTGTGATTAAAGCTGATCAACTGGTTTTTGTTTTCACTGGAGGCCGCATTTATACATAATAAAATTAATAACATATTGATATAAGACTGCTTGGTTTTCAACTGTCCAAAAGACATGTATAACTGAGTTGCACAATGATGAACAAACTCTTACAATAAAGGTCGACATATAGCTGAAACCCATTTATCATGTCTAAATGGATCAACTGACACTGCAGATATTCAATGAAATGACAGATCCATCATCATTAGTGTGGTAGCTGAAAAAACAAACTTACCACCAACACAACGTTGATGTTAGTCAGTATACTTTACAAGTGCCAATTCTCTTATCTCCATTCAATATGATGCCACATTCCTCTAATCAGCAGTGTGATGTTATGCATTAAGGTCTAAGCTGCCCAGTTAGTTAGATAAATGAGTTTTTCTTCTGTTTCTAAGCTACAACATTACATATTTTAATACACTTTAGATTTTAAATAAAACACATCTAACCTGCTTCTTTAGTTTCACAAGACGCTTTCCACCATTTTTGTCACCACCAATAGGTTTCACCACAGTCCTTGGTTTACGTTTAGGTTTTTCTTTTTTAGTTTTATCCTTCTTAATTCGAAACAAGCCTCGTTTGTGGTACATCCGAGAACGAGAGAAGCGCCATACTCCCCCTGGCAATTGGTAGTTACGGGGGTGGTGGTCTTTCTTTACAACTTTATTCTCTTTGTCAGCCATCTGTAAAAAATACCAATTATTAAACCCTTTGTTGCAGAAGTAACACCATGTTTTATGTACTAAAGCTGCTTAAAATACTATTGTATGAATGATGTGCATTTCAACATTTCTTCACTACAACAAACAGGTATGTAATAATTAAGTCACCCCTCAACAGTAACAAGCTGTAATAACTAAAAGATATACATGAAATTCTTTTAGTCTTGAAGTACATACTTAAACAATACTAGAATTTTGTGACTTGTAACAGATTAGTCAGCTTAATACAGTTTAGCCCTCGATTTAGCAGCCACTATTCAAAAATTTAGTGGCATTACTTGTACCAAACATTACTAGTATGGTGTCCATTTACATAATATCACTGTTAAAAATAAATTTAATTAGCATGAAGTTTAAGCTTAAAAAGGAAAAAAATGATACTCATAATACAAACTTAATAAAAATGTATGGTTTGAAGGAAACTAGGTTTGTAATATCAAAACTGTTTCTGAGACTGCCATGATTTGATTTCTAGTTCAGGCCAGGCTTAATATTTCTGTTTGCTGTAACCTGACCGACCATCTGAACTTGGGGCCGACTAAGAGATTTTTTGGGATATTATGACTCGTGAAATTTTTATTTTTACTAATTACTTTTTTTTATTGAAATATTGAAGTAAATCATCTCATCTTTGCAATGGGCCATTATATGAAGGTAAAAGGTTAATATTCCTACAACTATACTATTAAGGGGTCCCAGAGAATTATAGTTTCTAGCCATGAAAGCATGTGAATTGAAAAACACAGTTGCAAATATATAAATCTCACAAACAAAATACTAATTAGTGTACACCAGAAAACATGAAAACATCTACAGTACTAATACTGGCTGAATTTGCATGATTTATTTCAAGGTAACTGTACTCCCACTAAACCCATTTTCTGCCATTTGTCAGCAATCAGCGAGAGAATATTAAAACCAAAACCATTGTGTCAATTCAAACTGGCTGGACCAATAAGGATCAGTGATATATCAAATGATAGCTCTCTTCATGCTTTACTTTGGCTGGCTGGTTTCATTAGATCCAGAAGCATTTAATATTTGAAAAATAAAAACAAATCTAGAAACAAGGCCATACAATAAACTTTGTGATGTGGATTACATAATGCATAAACTGATACATAGATATCTCTGCCCAATTTAATTTAAGAGCAACTCAAAAAATGATGAATGGGGATTGTAAACAGCCTATGCATTGTCCTAGCAACTGCTTACTTTACGTCATATCATTGGGAATAAACAGATGTTGTCAAAAGTGGTTTGAACGATGTATGAATTACATCATGACATACAACGGGTAGAGGTTACTACTGATACATATCTGTCAATCACTGTATTTCAAGTTTACAACCAATAATTACCAAATCTCTCCTATTCTCTATGGTTATTGACAATTTTCACTTCATTCATCCACATAACATGAATGCACATTTGGAACCGATGGACTTTATTGGGACAACATTTTATCTTGCCTGGAAATTGGTGTTACGAAGTAAAGCAATAAATCATTGACATTTTGTTAACATTGTTCTAATGGGAAGGTCACGTGGAGCAAAAGGTCAATTTAGAAGTAATATTTTTATTTTTCATTAATTATTAACTACATAATTGAACTTAGAGTGTAAATCTACTAATTTGTGACTGTGGAATCCAATTATGTGGTAATTGTATTTTCATTATTTAAAAATTACCGAAACCATCTAACACTAGTTGAGCTATCCACAACCATTTTACCATATCATATACACCAGTTTTCATTAAAAATCTACCACATTTGTGACAAACACAAAATGAAAATGTCTTTTAAAAATACTTTAACAAAATTAAAATATCTTATACCTATGAGTAAGCACAACATATATGCAGTTAAGGTGTAAATGTCAAACAGAATACATAGACGAACGGGATATATTGATTACACTATTAATGATAATAAAGTTCAATCATGATACATTTCAATTTCAAATAAACTTCAATAACCTCATACTTCAAACTTTATAAGTAAGATTTCATGCAACTCTTTACATTCGAGAGTCGTTTAGTTTGGGCGGTTTGTTGATAGAGCAGTTTCAAAATTTTTGTTCTACGAGAAAATCTTACAATTTCAGTTGTAGCATGTTATGTTAGTTATAATTACTTAAAGTAGGCCTAGCGGTAGACACACAACTTAACAGTAACAGGACTTAATTTACAGTATATGACTTTTCTATTTATATATATGTACATAATTTATCCTAAGAACATACGAAGTGTTAAATAAATTAATAATAAGTAAAATTAAGTCGATATTATACGAAGATTACATCGATTTCTGCAAACCTCACAAAACACACTTAATCACATACCTTCTCCTCTCAAGAAAGAATGATATCCTTGCCCTAGCGGAATTTTCTCACACCTATCTCGCATGTTACGAGAGAGTACAATTTTCAAATATGGCAGAATGTGATGTTAGAAGTGACGAAGACTTGAGTGCAAACTTAACTAATAGCTCTAAATTGCCAAAAAATGTTTTTAATAACGAAGAAGTCCAGACAGAAGGTTTCCATAGACAAGAATCAGATTTAGGAATACCCCAACCTCGAACATTTTCAGGTTGTTAGTGTTATTCTAAGTTATTTATTAGCATGTTCTGTAACTTTTAATTGATTCACTCGACTGGAGTCAAGACTCAACTTTTAACCAACATAAATTTTAATTGTAAAACAGGCATAGACATAGTGTAAGTAATATTAATAAATTTTTAACTAAATTATAATACTTAATACGAACATTACAGCTTCCAGAGTGGAGCTAATAACATGAAATACAGACAACGTGGGACTATTGCATTAAGTCCTTTGGGGGTTGTCATTGTATTGTGATGCACACACCCCTATAGCCCAGTACAGGATATATTTTTCAAGAAGTCATCGATTTTCCTCATAAGCCCATGTAAAGTATTGACTTCCCTTACTGCCACTATCAACTCTTTCTATAAGGCAATCACTCCGTTAGAAAAAATTTAAATATCTTAATTAGAGCTTAACCTGTATTTCCTAAACTGCTTAGTAAACATTAAACTTTTGTCCTCTTATCTTATTAGTATTATCTATATTTCACTTGTATTTGTGTAACAGCCTCAGAATATGTCTACAAATTCCAATGAGTGTTTTATATTCAAATGGTATTATATATAGTTTATGAATGAACATAAAAATATAAAGTGTAAACTTTAAAATATTAGGCCATTCAGTCCATCAGGTTCACTCACTAAAAGTAAAACAACCAGTCCAGACCAAATGAAATGTAGCCCTTTAATAATGGCTGGAGACGGCTTGAATGGGTAATGAAGAAAAACTTTAATATAATTTTAACATAACAGCAAAT